CAGACACGAACACTATTTACGCATTCGTCAAGTTCCAGCGATGCGGACGCCACTGAGTGGCGCACAGAATATTCTGTGTACGACGGGCCGGGCTGGCGATGAGAAGTGCGGCACCGCACGGCATGAGTATGTAGCGGATACGATATACGCAGCATCAGCGGATAGGAGTTCAACGGGCAGCTCATCAACGGCTATTTGCTTCTGATCAGCCATTATGCACGATGTCTTGTACGGATCGGCTCAGCGATGCGCGTAAATTGATGCGTTAGTACTGTGCCTCCCGAGTGGTCTGCATGACAGCAGGCGTTTTCGTCTTTACGGCATGCATGGGTCCTCAGGTCAGCTTCGACTTCTGTGGCACGATGTCTCTCACGGCCCCCTCGCAATTACCCTTGCTTTCCCACATACTACACGCCCATCTCAGACTCGCAGCTCAGCAGGGCTCCGCTGCCAATCCTCCCTTGGGTGCCTCGAGTCCTCACCTCCAGGGAAGTATCGGGCAGCCGTTCTCGCTTCCTGTCACCAGCAATCAGTCCATCGCACAGAAGCCAGTGCTAGTGCACCGTACATCATGATGCTGCGCTTCCCAGAGATAGCCGCTGCGCCCGTACAGGGTTTGATGGCCTGTGGTGCAATGTGGAGCTTGACGCTTGTGCTCGGATACGGTTGAGATGCGAGCGCTTTAACGCCATATAATCAGCGCAACGGCCTGCATGTGCTCTCCTGCACTTTTGCCTGTCAGTGCATCGCCTAGCCATGTCATTGGACGCTGCGAACACCGGAGGCCCAGTCTTTGTCGGAGTGGCTGTTTCGCTCATGTACTCCACTTCATCTCAATCTAGCTGCTGACCAATCCTGTTCTGCAGGTTCTATGGCATATTGTGTGCACAGCTCCTGTATTACACGTGGTATTACCCCAAGGACTCACTCCGACTCAAAGGAATGGTAGGCCTCATGTTTGTCCGCTGTCTTCTATGTGCTCATTGGTGCCCCAAAGGTCTGGTGTCTATTGTATGTGGTATGCCAGCAGGGTAAAACATCCTGCAACTAAGTGTTGAGCAGCATACTTGATACTATTTCCATGGCCTTGACTATTGATGTAGGTCTTGAGTTTGGGGATAGAGTAGGATGCTCATTAGTTGCCAGTGCCTGTACCAAATGGCTGTCAAATCACAAGCCTCTGCTGTGACTAAGTTCATGCTACCTGAGTCAGTAGATGTCACTAATTGTTTATTAATGATGCTCATATGAAAATCCTTGAACAGCTCAATTGATGTCAGTCACTTTATGGCCTGCTTTTGCTGATCTCAAACCTGCTTCATTACAGATTGAATTTATATTCGGAGTGAGAAATTTATATCATGAACTGGCAACTATTAATATTATGCAGGCAATTATGATCTTGATTGTTCAAATGCAAGTTGTGCTCTTAGAGATGCATGATTTGGCTGACTTATTATTATCAGATATTATATATATGTGATTTGGCTATGTGAGTGAGCATTTTGATAGTTATGAGTACTAGGATAATATATTCTCTATAGTACATGGAAGTACAAGAGCCAGCACTCTCATCTCAGGTATAATGGTACACCTCTATGATCAAGATAGTTATCTTCTACTCACATGATTGTTTTCAGGTCACATTAGCACTAGCATCATGTGGTATGAGATATAATCATAATTGTTTTCTGTGTTGATATATTGATAATTTGCAATACTCAGCCTCAGGCTGTGGTTTGTACCCTATTTTGTGTCCATATATATAAACTAACACTACTTTGTTGTTGTTATAGCCAATGGATATTATGGGTAAGTCCTATTTGTATGTAGCTGTACTGCTGAGACTATAAGCATTCCTAGATTGAAATTTCCTACTATTCCAGAGGTGTTTCTTGAAGCAAAGGTATTGTTTTGTATTCTGTGCTATTTTTCCTGTATTCAGTGAAAGTCATAGAATTCAGGCATTGTACAGCCAGCTATAGCCACTGTTATAGATATATATATTATGGTGGCACTTATCTGGAAATTGAAACAAGAATCTTCAGTGTTAGAAGAGTAAGTTTTTCATAATTATTAGTTGACATTATCTAATTATTATTTATTAGCACAAGAAATCTCATGAACAGGCTTATCTCATTTGCTATTAATCGTGCAGTCTTAACAGTGTATGTACTTTCACTACATTTAATATTAAGTATCATTTAATGACATGTACAATCTATACAAAGTACTCTACAGATCACACAGGCAATTCTGGAAAGTACTCACATTTATGAAAAATATGTCTTCTGTATTCATTCATCTGTTATAGTTTGCAGCTCTAAGCTTGCATAATGGCTACTGGGTTATTTTCCATTGTGTTGGAACCCGAGGTATGTTCACTGAGCTTACTTGCAATAAATTGGCTATTGATACTTGAATTAGCATATGTGAATTCATTGATTGCAATGTATGTATACATTGATATATCAAATCTACCAATGATGCTGATATAAATATTGGCAGGCTCAATGCAAGGCATAGTTTTCACAGGCCTAGTCATAAGATTGTAAGGCTAATTCTTTCAGTTTAATATATTGCTTAGAGATGTTCACTAGGTTGTGGATATTGAACTGACCACACATGAACAATAGTATATCTGCATAGTGAATGTTTGTGTTTTCACTATTTTATGGTGATGAAAGTTGCATTCCTTATCCAAGAAGGAATGCAACAGAAGTCAGCTATTTTCTATAGAATCTCAGTATTATTCTAAGCAGTAAGATGTATGGAACCAGGACTGTAAAACACTTAACGAGTCTAATACTTACATACTGTACAAATCGAGGCCAGGGGAGTTGGTGACTGTGAATTTTGGGGCAGCAAAATATCAAGACATGATTTCATGCGCAACGCGCCGCCTGTACAGATAGCTCTGCGCGCTGGACGCTGCTCACCAACTTCAACACTGCGCACGCAGCGTATCCGTTACGCGTTCGCGTCGCGCATCGCCGCACCTCTACTGCCTCCGCTACATCACTCCAGACAACCCCCTCGCGCTACTGAGTCCCTGCACCACTACGCCGGCATAGCGCGGACCTCGGTAGACGGGCGGACTGTGCCCGAGTCCGCTGTGTTAAGGGCGGCGAGGAGCGCAAGTAGCCGTTGCACAGCGTCCGCGGGGTGTAACGCGCGCGCATCAAAGCTTGGGAGCGCATCAAGGAGGTGCGCAGTCATGCGCCTGAGTGATGCCGCAGCCGCGGGGCACGCTACTCCAGCATCACCGTATGTGGGACAATGCAATGTAGAACAAGTCAGCGCGTGGTGTAGACGGCAGATGCGGAGGCGGAGCACTCACGCATGTTCGTCGCCGTCGCAGACACGTCTACTTGCCCTGGCGCCATCGCAACCACCGTGAACGGCAAGCCGCCACGGACCCGCTCGTCCTCGAGCTGCGCGGCGAACTTCGTCATTGCCATGTCCGCCGCGGCCTTGGTTGCCCCGTACACTGCCATTTCGGCGAGGGCCGTGCGTTGCACGAAGGCACGGTCGCCTGCCCCACTGCTGAGGAGCACAATCTTACGCATGGACCTCGCGCGAAGGAGCGGGAGGAATGCATTGGTAGCATGCACGAATCCGAGGACGTTCGTCCTACATTGTGTAGGGATCGCGTGAGTGTCAGAGGAGAGACAACGGAAGTCTCACGGCCGCAAGAAATTCTGTGTCCAGCGCGTCGGCGTCATCGCTTTAGTAATATCTAACCTCAGACCAGAGATACCCAAGTTGAGGCACACAGAACACACTATTCATCTAGCCTAAGGAACAGCGATTCGCTATTCATGCGCGCCGCGCTGTACATGAGCATATCGAGCGCTCCATCTGTCACTTGTGCGACCTGTACCGCGGCGTACTGCACCCGCCCATCATCCGTCAACACAACAATTTCCATACGATACTGTGAAAACAGGACGGCGCGCACCTGTAGCGTGCGGTGGTCGTCTACTACATCTACCTGCACGACGTGTATATTGTGGTCTCTGGAGTTGGTCACGAGCGCAGCGAGATGCGGAGAGCGCGCAGGATCGCGCACGAAGGTTAAGACAACGTGGGCTGGGTCAGCTGCCTGTAGTGAGGGATGAGACAGGCAGAAAAAAGAAAATGCACTATCACATTGGTATCTGGGGGACTTACGAGCTGTCTAACAAATTCTAATCCAACTCCGCGAGAGGCACCGACAATAGCGTATGAGGGCATCCTGAGGGGATAAGCAATGGATAGTGCTGTAGAAAGAGCTGCAATGGCCCTTTGTCTCTGAGCAAGATCTGACAGACGCGCGCGTCGTCCGACATGCGCAATGCATGGCAACTCCGAGGCGCGCTGTGTTTCGTCATCCGGCCGAGAGCGGCGTTCAAACATGGAGATGTGAGTGGATGTCCTGGAGAGCAAATGTCAAAACGTGGGATGAAGCGCGGAGGAGCTGTGGGGGTTTCATCTGAGTCACTCACCTCCCATTAGGTGCCCTGAAGACACCTCGAACATGCTTAGTAGTTCTAATTGAGAATTAGGGATTCGAACAGAAAAGAATTCGCATGAGGACTTGGAAAACAGCGTAGCGAATTATCAGCCGCATACGGCTTACTTAAATGAAGCTACGCATTGTCCTTGGTGAAAGCTCATGAGACTTGAGTGCGATGACATCCCAGATTATACGGCTGAAGCGAGAGCTAATTTTACAGTACTGCTAAATTATTAGTACAATGCAACTTCGTGCTAAAGCCGGATAAATGAGACTATAAATGCATAGCAATCGAGCAGCTGAACTGGCCTATGTAGTGTTGACTACTGGATCGTCAGCCTCTTCTACCTCGAATGCACAACAGAAAGTCTCCCTATCGAGGAGAATTAACCCACGACCATCCGGGGCCCAGCGCACAGCATTTGTAGAGAATCTTTCTGTCAAAACGGTAGTAATTAGCGTCAATATACGTAATTCGAGACGAATGAGAGCGTACTAGCAGGCACTCCGACACACTCCGCCACTTCCTCGGGCTGTCCATCACTACCTCCGGATTCTCGGAGGCCGCCCTCGCTCACCCACTCATCGCTCCACAGGTAGAGCGCCCCACCCCCCGTGCACACAGCTAGACTGCCCCGCCGGACCGGATTCCAGCGTGCAGCCGCAACCGACGACGTGTGCACGAGGGCAGTGCGCAGCCTCGGCTTCAGCGATGAGCCATCCTCGGGCCTCGCCGTCGGCGAGGGGCCGGAAAGGGATGTTGTCCCGGTGTGCAGGAAGGTATACAACCACACGACGTCCGGAGCACCCCAGTAGCGCACCAAGAGTAATGTTCCGTCCGTATTCCAGGCGAGATGCTCGTCTACCGCGGTGCCTTTAGAGCTTGAGGATAGCTCAGGGGGCGGTCTCGAGCGGTCTCGAGACGGAAGCGTCAGTGTATACGGTGGCTGGACACGCTCGTCTGCATCCCAGTGGATAACTTCATCAGTGAGCATGAAAACGTGGAAACGCAACTAACATGAGAGGAAGCCTCGCCCGTGAGTGGTCTCGAGCCACTTGTCTGGTTCGCGCCACAGGGTCTACGCGCGAAGAGATGTGTGTACAGCGTCAGGTCGACAGTCATCATGAGGTTTACAATATTGGAAAACGTACAGTACCGACAGGAATACGGCTCTGTAATTCCACGATTGAAACAGGTCCATATGTCAAGCTATCAAGTATATGCACCTGTGAAAATGCCTTCAGCATTATGGGGCCAAGCTGACCTTGCACAACACACCTTGTCGTCCCAACCAAGTATAGCCAGGAACAGGCCAGAAGGATGCCAGGCAACTGCTCGGACTCCAAAGCCAGGATCACGATCGGGAGCGAACGAACCCAGCACATCACCCGCGAGGCTGAGGATGTAGATTTTGCACTGTTGGACAGGACCTCAGCTTGGAAGATATTTTCCAGCAATCTACAAACCTCTAACAGCCCTTCCCATAATGCAACATGATTCCCGGCTGGCGAAAGCGCTAATCCGGCGATCGAGCTGGTAGGTATCGGGAAATGCTAGGTACCAGATCGACCTGTATGTTAGCTCGCACATGTACGCACGTATTGAGCACAAGATGCTGTCAAGAACATACTCTAACGAGGCGGTATGCGGCTGTGGCATCGTATATGCCCAGTGTGTCCCGGGATTTGTGCCGCTCTGCCAGTACTAGGTAATGGCCGTCCGAGCGAAATGCGTGGCCTGCGATTTAACAATCAAAGTAATGCTACTGAGGGACATAAATTGCACTTACCACGCTCAGGATGTGCGGGATACTGGATATAGACCGGTGTGGAAGTAACTAACGACCAGATAGTCACCCGTAACTACAGGTAAATTTGTGAGAGTTAAACTCATAATGTGTTAAAAAAAACATTACACTCACACCCCACTCGCTCCAGCAAACAACAGTTCGCCCATCGGGAGCCCACTCCGCTTTCAGCAGTCCCTCTGCCCCCGCCTCGATCCGCGCTCGCCAGTCTTCGTCTCGCATCTTAAACACCTCTACAAGTCCTCGTTTTGCACAGGCACCAAGGACATACTCCGAGTCGCACGACCATCCAATATGCGTTATCCAGCCATCGCTGCTTGATCCGGTCTCGGTGCTGCTGCGGGCAGCAGGCAATCTGCTTGTGGATTTCGCAGTCTGTGAGGTCTTGACTCCAGCTTTTGTTGGGGCAGGCTGAATCAAAGCCGAAACAGTGGCAGAAGGAGTCCCGTCCATTGCCCATGACCGCGTAATCTGAAAGGAGTCTGCGCGCCGGACAACTAGTCGGTCCTGAATGGCGGTCAGGATGAAGTGCGTTCCAGGGGAGAAGTTTACGAGCGAGGATGATTGCTTGTATATTTCCGTGAAGTCCATAACGAAAGCAAAGACGCCACTCGCACAAATACAAGTTGATTCAACGGCAGCCTGAAGATTGATTCAAAGGCGGTGGCGCGTCCGCCTAACATGCCTGTTGTCACGGTCGCGATCAACGCGATCACGCGGAAACCATTCCTACATTTAGTAAACAGACTGTGTCGAGCTCGAAATGCACTCCGATTCTACTGATATCGTGTCGCATCATGGCTCTGGGTTGAGATTAATTGGAAAGCGGAGACAGATGCGTCGTTTATTGATCACAGCGCGCGACTAATCTAGCATGCACTCACCTACAGATGCTACACTAGAAATCACCATGTTTTCGCCCTCCACGAGTACATGAACAAAAATACGCCATGCGTTGTACGGCATCGCTCGCGTGAGCAGTTTAGATCCTGAGGGTATCGCCGAATACATGAACAACGCCGAGCTTCCGACTGAACCTTGAGCTTAAATGGAAGTCGGGCCCCCGTACGAACAAGATCCTCGACTTCTTCACCCTTTCTTACTGGGGGTTGGTGCGCTAGCTTGAACTGCAATTATTTTGAACCTCCATGTCGGACAATCCATACACAAACAGACCCCCGCTAAAATTGAGGAATTCATCAGAGTCAACAGTCAACAAGGAGCCTCTTTTTGGCTTTCTGCAAAGATCTGTCACTGCTCGGCAAATTACAAAGGCAATGGTATGTTGCGACTTCGCTTACATGATTGCGTGAAGTTATATATATTACTTCAGGATGGAGACATCAATCCATTCACAAAGCAGCCACACTCGCCTCAATATAAGAAGATCCTGGAAACACGGAAGAAGCTACCCGTCTTTGCACAGATGGAAGAGTTCCTCAAGATGGTGAGTATTGTACGTTTCGAAGTACCGTGAGGGAGGTCAGAGTCGGCCTCAGGCTCGAGATACCCTTTTCCCTTTATTGTCCGCGAGGGCCGAGCCCTATGTAGACAGTAACTACGTGGTATATATGTGCGTTCTCGAGACGGTATCGTAGCAGGGGCATTGGACGCCATCTATCGAGCAGGCGAGCGTCGGGGGTCAGCTAGGGTACACTGAATGGCCGTGTCGAGATACCCTTGACTAAGGAGAACGTAACTAATGTCCGGAAAAGTTCAGCAACAATCAGGTAATCGTTATGGTGGGAGAGACGGGATCAGGAAAGACTACTCAGTAAGGTGTGCCACACTGTCTCGAAAAGCATATCTACATGATTTCCATCGCAGGATCCCCCAGTTTGTTTGCTACTCAGACCTTCCACATGCCAAGGGAAAGCTTGTGGCGTGTACACAGCCCCATCGTGTCACAGCGATGTCTGTGGCGAAGCGAGTTGCTGACGAAATGGACGGTACCTCACAGGGCACTAACGATCATGCCTGTAAACTCACATATACGCTCAACAGTACAACTCGGCAAGCAAGTTGGATATTCGATTCAGTTCGAAGATATGACAGAACCCGGGACGACATTTCTTAAATACATGACGGACGGGATGTTACTGCGAGAGGCAGTGAACGACCCAGACCTCTCACGATACTCGACGATCATCCTCGACGAAGCACATGAGCGCACGCTCGCCACCGATATCTTGATGGGTCTGCTGAAAGCGCTCGCCAAACAGCGATTCGATCTGAAGATCGTTGTCATGTCCGCGACGCTCGATGCGCTGAAGTTTCAAAAATACTTGTCGGTGTCGAAGGATGGAGAGCTTGCGCCCCTGTTTAAGGTCCCAGGTCGCACGCACCCCGTTGAGGTGTTCTATATGCAGGAGCCGGAGCCGGACTACGTTGAGGCAGCAACTAGGACGGTGCTGATGATACACAGAGCCGAGGACCCTGGCGACATCCTTCTCTTCTTGACAGGAGAGGAGGAGATCGAAGACTCTTGTAGGAAAATCAAACTTGAAGCCGATGATCGTATGAACTCCGATCCCGATGGTGTTGGCCCGCTGACGTGCATACCGTTATATTCATCTCTCCCGCCACAGCAACAACAACGTATTTTTGATCCACCTCCACCTCCTCGCACTCCAGACGGCCCTCCAGGAAGGAAGATAGTTGTGTCGACGAACAT